TCCCATTTCCACACAGATTCCAAAGTCATTTCCATTTGTAACAAAGGACCAACATTCAGTAAAGGGTTTATTCTTGCTGATGAAATCCCTCTAACTCAGTTTTATCAGTCTATTAAGCCTGTCAGCAATTACAAAGCCTGCACATGGCTGCAACAAAGCCCTCAAAGCTGTCATTATTGGGACTCTATCATCACTTTCCTTTTATCATTTAATTGCAGGAATTACCCAGACACTAGATTTGGTTACCTAATGTCTTTAGATACTGTATATGTGCCAATCCATTTCAACAAGTGGAAAAGAAATCGGATGCCATTATAGACCTTCAGATGTTTTGAGATTTAACAAATGTACTGACGTAATGTACAGAGCTGAGCTTTACTAAGCTGAACTAAAGCTAATCACACAAGGCTGATGGCATGAATCTTTCAAAGCTGGCTTTAATAAGACATACCATCTCCTTTTGAAGAAACGTTTGCATATTTTGAAAAATATGTATGACTGTGTACAAGGGACATCTTGTAAACACAAAAAACCTGGTAACTTTCAAGCATCTACAACATTATGCAAAATAAATGAGTCACAGGTCTAATCAATCCATCAATTCTAGTAAAATGTCAAACAGCCACATTTGGTCAAGTACATTTTTATTGTATTTTGACGGATGGATTTGGTACTGGAGAAACAGTTTGAAATGAGGTTGCGTGCATCAGTTTACTGTTTCCACTACTTTAATCATCCTTTCCGCAGAGTACTAATCTCTTTTTCATTCCCTTTCTCCACGCACATACCGATGTTTACAAGCTTCTGTCCAGATCCACCCTTGGCCACCATCATCCCCTCACCTGTGCCCCATCTGCCATTATCAGTATCATGAGTCTCGTCCAACAGCAGTCATAACTTATGCTTGCATCCTATTCTATTACAGTAATAACAGAATCCAGTTGAAGGGGATTAGCCTCTCCAGAAAAAGTAAGTGTAAACTTTTCAGGATTAAGTTATACTTGACTTACATCAGCGTCTTGCTGAGTTATCATCTAAAGTCACATTGCCAGGAGCTTTATATGCTAATATCACACATTCAATAGATTAAAGCATAGAGCATGTCAGTTCAGTCATACTTTATTTTAATGTCCAATTCTCACTACTAATTAACTATTAACTATGACTTTTGCCTCAATAAACTCCTAATTTTCTGCTTACTAATAGTTAGTAAGGTAGTTATTGGGTAAGATTAAGGGATCTAAAATATGGTCATGCAGAATAAGGCATTAATGTGCTTTATAAGTACTAATAAACAGCCAATATGCTATAATGTGCATGTTAATAAACAACTAGTTAATAGTAAGAACTGGTTCTTAATATAAAGTGTCACCATCAGTTCATATATGTACCACACTGATTCATGAAAATGTAAAATAAAAATGAAATATATAATATGTATTACATAAGAAAACATAGCCTTCTTTTAGTTCATTTAACAAGAATTACAGCATCTGCAAGACACATTCCCAGCTGTATTCTAATACCTTTAAATGCAAATAAATAAATAATGTTCCCAGGAAAAAAGAAAAAGAAAAAAATCCCAAAAACCAATAATGACAATAGCAAAATGTTATATGATAATGGATGCTATTTAGTCAGCTATTTCTGAAAATCTTTGAAGGCATGGCGAATAGCTATTATTTTCTAGGACGGCACTGCTGCACACAGCAATCACTGTAAATGGCATGAAGTTTGCACTTCTCTTGACACACTTACGGTTTTATTGTGAGGCTTAGGATTTGGGATTTTACAAATCAGTACTTGTGAATTCAATTAAGCATAATTACATGCAAAATATAAAAGCATCTTTATCACTGACCTGAATTTTTATGAGCACTTGAACACTGTTAAGCGGACACTAGGCTAAATTCAGTGAAAGATGTGCCCAGTGTCTTAAGTTTTTTTTTTGTTTTTTTTTTCAGGAAGATTTCAACAGCGTGACTTATGAATCATGCCAACATTAAAATCTTTAAATCTAACTTCTACAGTCAAATGTTTCGTTATGCTGAATTAACTACTGTAGGCCTGCTAAATGACACTGTTGGGACATTTTATTTGCTACCAAATCACAACTTTGTCCAAACTTATACTCATTCATACATTCAAACAGTTAGGGATGTAACGGTATGAAAATTTCTTATCACAATTATAGTGACCAAAATGATCACGGTTATCAGTATTATCACGGTATTGTTAAAATGTGCTGGAGATGTTCAAAAAGTACCGACACATAAATCACTTCAAGTTTTATATTTAAAATCAACAAACAACAAATACAATTACTTTTTTGTTTGCATAATCACTAAAACAATAACATTACCTATGATGTTTGGACTTTAAATGACAACTTGACAGACAACAGTTTAATAGCATGTTGAAATATCTAACGTAAATGTTCAAATAAAGCTTTGAAAAAGTTTCATAAAAAGGTAAACCTCACATTTCAGCCTTTAAATAAAGAAAAATAAATATAGGTCTCTGTAAATCCACTCACTGACACTAGGTGGAGCTTATGGAAAAGCTGAATTAGAGCTGTTTCCCGTAACCTCCGTGGACAAAGCAGTATTGCGATTAAGAACACTTCCTTTAGGTATCACATGGAGCGAAGATGAAAACAAATGCCATCGAATCGTTTCTGAAGACAGTCAGAACCTTCAGAGGTACATTCATATAATTAATTAATTCATATATTAATTTGTATAATTCCCTTAGCACTCTTTTAAAACCTCCCAGCTTTTCCGCCCTGTTTTCACTCAAAACGAAACTACTCTGCGTGCTATGCTGGACAGTATTTATTTATCGTGAGTTGCTCAAATCGCGGTAATCTAATACGGTTTTAATGATAATTAAAGATGAAACGGTAATACTAACCGTGGGGAATTTTATCATGATGTATCGTCAAACCGGTAATCGTTACATCCCTACTAACAGTATAACAATTTTTTTAGCCTCTATTTTGTGATACCCACCCACAAGCAATGTTTCACATTTTCATTTAGTTTAATGTCATTTACTAAAATAATTAAAACTAAAATTGAAATAGAAATGAATTAATAAATGATTGAATCAATGAATAAATAAATGAATTAATATTTATATTATAAACACAGAAATAAAAACTAATTAATAAATAGATATAATTATATTTTAAGTATATTTATGATACTACAGCATGGTACAGCATTTAATGGTTCCCAAACATTCCAACTAAAATCTCCCATATGCCTATTGATTGGAAAGAACAGGAGACAATGGAAAGGAACCCCTGGGTTAAACAATTATTATTGAAATAACTTTAAGATTAGAGAGTAAAACTGTGAGTTACAGTAGTAGAACATTTAAGGAGCTTATATTCAAATCCCCTTTCATCTCTGGTTTATCCTCCAGCTTGTATCCACATACAATCATACAAACACTTAATATGCAAGAGTAAATGTTGATTTTTCTGCCTTTTTTTTCTGCTGGAGTCGCAAAAGATCAGACTGCTTCCGACCACATGTTCAGCAGAGGAGTAAAAATAAATCATGCAATAACATCTGTCGCTGTTTGCTATAATCACAGCAAAAATGCAATGTGTGTTCAGTTGCATTTGAGTGCATATAAATACAAACATACATTACATTAGGCTTGTAAAATAAACTCATAAAGATAAAAAAAGCTTCATGAAATTGCCATTCTTTTAATATGATACTACCAACGAAAATACTGTTTAATAATAAGGGCAAATATCCATAGCCGACATCCCATGGCCTCATTGGGATAGTAAAGAGTACACTGGATGTGCACTTCAAAATCTTAGCAGAAGTAGTAGTATTTCTTACTATTGCTAACACACTGCTTTTTGCCTAACTACTGTATATAGTGGAGAAGTGCCCCCTCACTTTGTGCGCTCTGGCACTGACCCTGATAGAGGCCTTTACATTTTGACATCCTAAAAACAGACTTCAGTCACATTCACTGTAAACAATTAATTAACGAAATGTACTGTATCCTAACTGCGTGAGCTTAATCAGACTTATAATAATTGTTTTACCAAAAAATATCTGGGGGACCCCCCCACATCTATTTATTTATTTTTTAATCTGTGCTTCTCATACGTTCTGCACTGTTTATTGGTAGTGCAGCTTCACCATACAGATTTGACTATGTGCACAGCTAAATAAAACAGGCTGGGTACTGATTAAAATTTCTGAAATAAATATTTCTGTGAAACACGTTAGGGTGCACAGAAGAAAGCCTGATCTAGGACCTATATATAGGACCCATACAGCAGCAGAGGACTATTATTTTGTTGAACGAACTGAGGATGACGTCACAGGCTCAGATTTGGTTGACCAATTGGCGGAAAGGGGCATGTCAAGACCGCCCACAAGGGGAAAACTAATTTTGAAGTCGTTTATCCGTTTTCTACCCGTGAACCAAAAAAACTAAAATTGAGCCAAAATCTCGTTTTTTTTTTTTTTGTTAACAAATGAAGAAAAGACCGTTTTCTCATTTCTGCTTATTTCATTTAAAACTGAAAAACAAACTATCAAAACATATACGGACCTTATTGGTAGCCTACGTATTTTGCGTCTCGCGAAAAAGTGCCCCCAGGTACGGGGGTTAACTAATTTTTTTTTTTTTTAAGTTTCTAAATTGGCACTGTATATTTACTTTGGGCATTCATGAACAAAGCTAGAATCTTTCCAACTGTAATCGTGTATATATGATGGTTATATTGACTGTGCACTGAAAACAAAAAATAGATTAAACACACTCGCTGCAGTATAAACACAGTGTTAGACTGGTTTCAGATCCATCTAAAATTGGACATGTTTACATGAGATGCATTCATGTGTTCAAAAAAGTGGAGCACAATGAGTTTCAAATGAGTGCAACTACAGTACTCATCCAACATCCCATCCCTAAATAAAATCAAGCAGAAACAGTGCTGTACAGTCACTGCATGAACTTACTGTGTTGGCAGTGGATTCCGTTGAAGCCTGATGGGCACTTGCAGACATATCCAATGAATGTGTCGCCCCTGAACGTTTCACTGATTTCACAGGTGCCTCCATTGTGACAAGGGTTTGGATGACAGGGTCCTGTAATTTAGACAAAATAGAAATAAGCAAGTGGACTGAAGTGTTTTTGATGTATGTAAGTGTTCACAACCCACATGATGGGTTAGATAAACAGTGGGTTAGAAGCAGACATCAGCAGTTTATAACATGACCTGCAGTGGAAGTGCTTGTATCTCTGTCTACTGTGGTTCAACTAACATACAGGGGGAAAAAAAAAGATAAATGATTGAACACACTGAAGGAAAGGATGAAACGAGACAGAGTCACAGAGAGAAAGAGAGAAATGTAAGTATAAGCATCACTTGCTGAGGTCACCATGGGGCAGCTTGAGGGATAAATGATATCATGGGCACTGCATTACCTCTCCTGGCACTGTGTCAACACACAGACAGACAGAGAGAGAGAGAGAGAGAATGAGTGCTGGCATTTCACTTAATCGTTATAAACTGTCAGAGTTAAATCGGAGCAGAAATTAATTGATGAGTATGTGAAAAGGTCAAGGGAATGTTATGGGAGCAATGCTCTTTGACAGGATGCCAGTTTAATGACATTTTAGTGAACGATGGATTCAGAAAAGGTGTGACACATATGGCATTTAATATGTAACTAGATAATATCTGTCATATACATTTATTGTAATGTGCCTTGGCAGGAAGATTGTCTCCTCCAGCTGATTCTGGTTCCTCTCAAGGTTTTTACACTGTATAGAACATTGTAGAGTCACATTTATATCCTTAATTTAAGTAAATATTCTGAGTGAATTTAACTTAATCTGTCATGATTTATCAATAGCACAATTACTTAGATTGTTTTTGATTAATATTTCTATGTGAATTGCACAATTACATGCAAACCTCAATACACATGTTGTTCAATTTGAACTATATTTGTGTAATTGTGTAATATGTATCTATTGCTATGAGAATGTACACTATTGTTCAAAAGTTTGGGGTCAGTAAGATTTTAAAATGATTTTGAAAAAACTCTCATGCTGCCAAGGCCATATTAATTACTACTACTACTACTACTACTAATAATAATAATAATACTACTACTACTACTACTACTAATAATAATAATAATA